CAAAATTTACTCTAGTTAATATTGTTATAAATAAATAATCAAGAAGATATTTATTATTTTTTAATCATAAAATTTGTTAATGTATTAAATTATAAAAATATGATTAAACATTATTATTTTTATTGTCTGCCCCTAGTGTTTTTAAAAATCTGCATTTATACTGTTTTAAAAATGGCTTAATCAATTTTAGCCATAAGATAATTACCTATGCCTTGAGAGATCAAAATTGTGCCAATCCAATAGCCAATATCCGTTATTATAAAATTGTTGCTATTTTTATTTATCATATAATTTAAGTAGATGAAATATTTTATTAATAACAATAAAAAATAATAGATATAACCTAGAGGAAACCGAGATGGCTTTTAATAAAATTTTTAAAATAATTAAATTATAGATAAAACAAAAAAAAACATGTAAAACTGATTATAAAAAAAGATCTAAATTTTATTTATATTTTGATAAAAAATAAGAATTTATTTTTTGTTTTAATAAAATAAAAAGTATTGATTGGAAGGGAAGACTCGATGTTTTATATTGACATATCATTATATTATTTATTGAAAGAAGAGCGAGGGAAATATTTTTATTAATTTTATGATATTCAAAAAATTTTGGGAAATAAATCTTTAATTTTTTTCTGTTCACACTATGAATTTTCATATAAGGAAACAGAAATATTAAAATTTAAATTTACCCAATAAAAAAATTGACTACATCAACCATGGATTCATAAAAAAATTGATCTATATATTTCCAAAATGTTGTTCTTGGAGAAGGTAAAAATTATTTTTGTCGCAAGAAAGTTATTGGATTTTATAAAAAATCCAGTCTGTCACCCTATAAACAGTGTTAGATATATATTCTCTCCCCATAGTTTTATTATTTGGGTTGAAAACAGTAAGAATTCTTAAATTATATAAGTATTTCGTTTTATCAGTTATGATCATTCAAAGGGCACAATCTATATTTTAACCCTCTCTAATTTCTAAATATCTTATAATAATCTAATCTAAGAAGATTAAGCTTAATTTTTTACTTATACTATGACCAATTTAGTTTATCAGAGTTGTTAAAAGATACATTTTAAAGTATCTAGATACAGATACAATTTTTATCATACTTATTTTATACAGGATTCACCGTTGCTGTCGATCATAAACACACAAAATATGTAAACACGATAATATAATAATATGTCAACTCCCCTATTTTTATCGTTCTTTCAAACAAATTTTCATTTTTTTATATTTAAATTTATTCATTAAAAGTTAGAATATCTATAAAATTATTTTAAAAAAATTCTAAATAAATTTATTTGCTTAAAATAATTTGCATCAAAGGTATTGTTTTTAATAATTAATGTGTCTCATGGCTAAGCAAGGATTTGTATATTCCTTTACACAAATAAAAATATTCTTCACAAAATCTTATTTAATGAATATTTATAACTTTTTTATATACAAGTTTTAATATTATATATTTATTATATTAGTCTTAATTTTTTAATATATATATTTATTTAAATTATATGCTCATTTGAGATGAAATTTGTGTTATGTGTATCGTGTTAGCGAGGAGTCATTTTGTATAATAAATGGGTTATTTGCAGGGATGTGAACCCGAACCCTAGACCCAGGTCCTTTTTAAATTTATTACAGGACCTAAACCCGGACCCTTTTTTTTGCGAAGGGACATCCCTGGTTATTTGTGCTTAATATTTTTTGATTTATTTTTTGCGCTTCATTCTTGTGATATAATATTGAAAAAATGCTATTTTTAAAATCTTATCTTATCTTGCACGTAGGTCATAGACTTGCCCAAGATGAGCGAACGTGAATTATATGAAGGCCCAATCCTTTATATGATTATGCCGAGTTTTTTCTCAGAATACCGACAAACCTTGTACCCAGGAAACTAATATATGAGTGGAACTAATCCCTTTAAATGAAGTGTATAGCAGGAGGAGATAAATAGAAATTATATTATAAGGAGAACTGAATAGATATAGGAAACTGTCTAAAGTCTTCCAAATACAACCGTCTAATTATATACTTTAAGAGATAATTAAATACAATAAAGGAAGGAAAAGCCATTATCATTTATGCCGATAGGCTTAAGGAAAAAAGGACAAAGAAACTTAAATATATAATAATCACTTAAAGTATAGAGACAACTGGAATTAACTTTAAGGAGAACTGAATAAATAAATAACTTAGTAATAAATTAAAGAAGAGACTCAACTTTAAATGAAACAAATATCAAACAGTAACGTATGATTAAAATACAATTGGGATACAATTAGGAATAGAATAAAATAAAACTAAAATCACAATAAATTTAGAGAAGAAGTTTGGCCATCTTTAAATAAATATCTAATAATAAACTGTTATTAAGACGATTATGAAAGAAACCTTAAGTCCTAATAAATATTAGAAAAACCCCATTTCTAGAAAATAATAACTTAAAATACATATTATGAACAAAGTTTATCAATTTTAACCTCATTTAGCAGTTATTTGTCATATGCTCATATATGAGTCTCAGAATATATTTGAATATTTTCCTGTCTGATGAAGCCGTCTTTAAAAAATCCCAAGATAAATCGAGTTCTACCAAAGACCTTACCATTCTTCCAAACCAACTGCCCTTAAAGGATAGAAAAGGCTTAAGAGCAATGTCTTCCTGAGATTGATTTATAAGGGCTTGATGTATTAAGTTGTTCGAAGGATGTCTTATTATGTGACCCACCAACTCGATTTTCCTATATTCTATCATTCTAAGAATAGGAAGAATATCACATCTAGCCCAAAGCCTATAATTTGTATGCCCAAAGCCTATAATATTCTAGATAGGGATAGAAGGTTATAGTTATGTATCTTAGACATTTATTAATAAATATTTGCATCTTGTTATTATCCGACTTAGTATTGTTCCATGTTTCTACACCGTAGTAAAGAGACGCCATAATTAAGACTTTAAATAGTCTAATCTTCAATGGAATCGAAATTTGCTGTGAGGACCAAATCTTCATCAGAGCCAGGTACTTTATTCTGGTCTTATTTAGTTTAGACTGTTGATCTTTTTTTGTACAACCTTTCTTGTCCAATAAAACACCTAGATATTTTAAAGTAGTTACTTCATTCATCGTACATCCATCTATAGGTAAATTAATCAGTGGAGAAGAATAGTAGAACGTCATAATTTTTGACTTGTTTTTATTAAATAATAGGTCAAAGTGTCCCGCCTAGAAAAAATTATTATTATGCATTAATTAAATGGATATATATAGAGAAAAAAAAATTATTATTGCGTTTTTTATATTTTTTTGTAAAAAAAATTCAGTCATACATTTCTGTTTTATTGTAAAAATAAGGGAAAATATATTGAACTCGCGACAAGTAAGAACATATTTGACTTTGAAAAACATTAATTATAAACAGTATAATTTTTGTATTAATATTTATTATTTAAATCATAAATAGTATAATTTTGACATTTAAAGTATTTAGTATTTGACTTTTAAATAATTTGAATCCAAATATTTTTTAGATAAAAAAAGCGTTAAATAAAGTATATCATATCAAAATGTTTCATAAAGTGTCTAAAAACAAGTATCTCTAAAATAATGTGATACAGATTACAAAAATGTATCTAGATACTTTAACTGTGAAATTTTCAATAAAAATATATACCCTACCATCAAGCATCTTTCACAAATAGAAATTTCATACTAAGAAAAATAAATAGGTTTATCTTTCTATTTGTCAGAATTGTCCTAAATTTAGCTATTTATAAAATTTATACATCTTACATGGATATAGACCGCAATATATAATATATTATAACTTACATTTTTTAATATTATTTTTTAGACTTTTTCTGTCTGGGTAATTCAAAAAATTAATTTATTTCAACTGTGCATGAATTCTAATAAATTTCCTTTAAATACATAAAAAAGATCTCCAATAAATTTGATAATAAATCTAATATATTTATCTAGAAATATTAATTTTTAGAATTAAGGAAATCTTTGAATATTATTTTACTATCGTTTTTAGTGACTTAATCTTGAATTAATTTTTTAATAGAATAAACACTTGTAAAAAAATATTTAAATCAATATTGATTAAATTTAAGGATATAAAGATATCACTATAATTACTTAAACTGTTCCTCAAGGATCGAGTTTTTTTATTTTGAAGATACTAAGAGAATTTTTGCTATCGGGTATGAAACCTGCTAATAGAGGTCTGCAATGGGCAAATTTTTAGCCAAAAAGCCCGCCCACTTATAATTTTTTTAAAAAGAATTACTCGCATGCCGGCTCATTTATCTATAAATTTTGTTTAACCGGCCTAATGTTTAAAAAATATTTTAATGGCTGGGTTGGCTCTTTATTTATTTACCCACCCATTACTTTAAAAAAATTTCAACCAGCCCTTCACCCCCCCCCCCAATGTTAAAAATATTTTTAAAAAATCCGACCTTGCCCATTCAAAGTATGGAAGGAGAAAACCCAGCCTAATGCAGACCTCTACCTGCTGTAATAAAAATATATCTTTTTTTCCAAAAAATGGTGGTTGTTTACGAAAATTGTTTGTCACATTTTCAAAATTATCTCGATTTTGACCAGTAATTTTGATTTCAATCATGTGACAAATATTGTTTAAAAACTCATCCTATCGAGGTTATTTAGAAAAAGATAAACTGACTAACATAAATGACCATTTTAAAAAAAATTAGACATTATTTAGGCCTTGCTCAAACTATTTGGTAAGGTTTGAGTCGGACCTTAAAATTAAGAATTTCAAAATGCTAAACTTTTTTACACAAAAGACTTTAAATTTAATTTGAGCATATTTGTGGTTCTTTTTGAAATATTATGACCAGTTGAGCTATTCTGCTACATCTGTTTTTAAAAAAAATCTCTCATATTTTTCAGAATCTATGACGGGAGCACAGGCAAAATTTCAAAATACTAATTTATTACATAAGAATACAGGAACGAAAGTAAAAGCAATATAATAATATTTTGGATAAAGCGAACGTTTTAACAATCATTGTTTTACAGAATCAAAGAATATTACAAAAAAAAATTATTTAAAAGAGAAAATAAAGAGAATGATCAATTTCTAAAATATCATTTTCAACAAGGATGTCTATCAGGAACCCTCTTTCTGGGTGCTTGTTTTATTACGTCGTCTACTCTCATTATCATTTCCGCAGCTTCGGAAGCGCTGAGCAAGATTTGAAGTTTGACGATGAACGGTTCCGTTACTCCCAAGGAATTCATGTCGCCTAGGTCGCCAGTTAGAACGTCTATTTAAAAAAATAATAATTAATTCTTAAAATATTAGCCCAAACTGAGGAGCTTCATTGATTAATGGCATTGAAGCGTCGTTGAATACAAATCAGCTGGTGACACGCCATTGATTTTCCAAATCACAATATTTATAATTAAATTAAACAGTCTTTTTTTTAAAGTTTTCGCTAAACTTATTTTGACGAAAAGCCAATCACAGCTATCACATAATTTTATTAAAGTAATAAAAAAATTACTAAGTCCCATTTTGTGTTGACCCTTAAAGTGGCAAGCTCTCAGTTTTGGTATCAGATCGGCGGTGTCTAATCCAGCATTATCGGATATGATAGTGGGCAACTTTGGAGAAAAAAAAATTAACATCATAAAATGAGAAACATTTCTAACGATTTCTTTAATTACAGGCTCATTCCATGTCAAATCATTCCCATCTTACAATTTCGATAAAATCTTGTAAGCTAATACATGTCCTATAGTTATAAATGGGATTCTAGGTATAAAACTTTGTTTTTTAACCCTATCCAAATTAAATCCATTCTAATTAAACTAAAAATTTTATAAAATACATTTTCCTTAAAATATGATTATTAAATATATTTTTTAATTAATATCCATTTCCCTCAATAATATATCTATAATGCTTGAATAATTTTAAACAATAAAAAAAGGCCTTTATTGCAGAGACCCAAACCGAAACGAATATCGGTTCGGTTAAGTTAAAAATAACGGTTCAGTTCGAACCTCTAAAAACCGGTTTTAACACTTTTGTATTCAAACCTAAATTAGAATTATGTATAAGGAAAAAAAAATTTTAATTTCATAATTAAAATAAAAACCTTTATTTTTATTTCATAATTAAAATAAAAACCTTTATTTTTATTAATTGCACATTATAAAATAATATTTAATATATAAATATAACAAATAAATATACCAATGATTAATTTTAAATAAAAACCTTTATTTTTATTAATTGCACATTATAAAATAATATTTAATATATAAATATAACAAATAAATATACCAATGATTAATTTTAATATGAACAATTACTTAAAATTTTTTTATTAAGCCGCACAATTAATATATTTTCAAAATTCGTCTTGCTCAAATTATATCTATAAGGAGAAAATATAAATTTAATTGTTGAAAAATATCTTTCCACACATACTTGGGCAGCTGGGATTGCCAGTATGATATCAGATTTGATGTGTCATTTATAATATACTATATGTAAATAATTTATATATTAGATTTAATTTTTTTCTAGGCATTATAATTCATAAACTTAAAATATTTAAAAAATGTTGTAAAATGGCAATATACTAAAGTTTATAAAAATTATGACTGATGTTTATCAATCAAATGTGATTGAAAATAATTTTAAAACAATTTGAATATAATTAAAATTTTTGCTATACTACTAGTAATAACTTGCGCATTATTTTATAAGCATAAAATTATGAGACTCGAACCGGTTCAGAGGCATTTTAGCGGTCGGTTCAGGTTCGGCTAGAACGGTTTTTAGAGGTTTAGGTTCGATAAAAATACCGGTTTTTAGCGGTTTAACGGTTCGGTTTGGATAACTGCTTTATTGTATTGAAACGTTTAAATATAATTATACATAATCCGCGTGATTGATTAAAATAATTTACCAGTCACGCTATTTATTAAAGAAATTATTATAAAAATAGTAAACGAATAATAAATATTATTTGAAAAATTGTATCTCATTATTTTGAATTCTCAACCTAAGATCCAAAAACGTTTTTGTGCCACAAATTTTTATCGAAATTAAAAGGTCAGAAGATCTCACTAGAGATGACCATGACCCCATATAGAATTAAATATATATATCAAATAAAATAAATTTTACCATCAAATTAAAAATATGTATAATAGCGTTTAATAAAAACTTGAATTAAAGCATTAGCAAATGATTCCATAGCCAAGGCTTCTTTTCCAGGGGTACTTTGGGCTAGTTTATTAACAGCAACCGCCATCAACATTTCTGAGGCACCTATTTAAATTTTGGGGACAAAAAAAATTAAATGATATTCTATTCAAGACTATATTTGCTATGGCTTGTGAGTGATTAATTTTTTCCAGTTATGTGAATAAATATAACACAGAAAAGCTACCTTAGCAAATAATTTTGAAAAATTTAATTACCTCCTCCGCACACCACTCCATGGGTAGATTGAGCACCTTTTTTGCCCCCCTTGTCCAGATTGGTGGGGTTGATGGTGGAGAGCGCTTGGCTTAGCACACAAAGAGCGTCATGAAGGGCTCTTTCTGCTTCGTCCAAAATGTGAGTAGTAGCGGCCCTGAGAACTATCGTGCATGCTTCAGCATTGGGGGTCCCTTAAATTAAAAAAAGGAGGTTAAATAAAGAAGAATATTAATATTTGAAATTATTGCGTTTTTTAGTTACAAAAACAATAATTAATCATCAACCATAGGGGTATGAATTTTGTGATGACATATAATATTTGTCATAGTATTTAATTATTTACCTGAAAATTTAATCATTTTATCTTCACCAATCATGATCTCCTCAATCAATTCACAGTGGCCCAGCTTAACTTGTCCTGGTTCAGCATTAAATGTTGAAAGTATTTCACCACCTGGAATAGAGAATATGGGAGGAAACATTAATTAATCTTAATTTTTATTGATTATGAGGAGAAGGTTTAGCTAAAAAAAAAACTAATTATAATTTTTAGCTTAGTATCGATGTACCAATTAAAACATAAATATAAACCGGTGACAAGTGCCAGTCTTTCAATGCCATCAAAATCAGCGTGCTCAATAGCCATGACACCAGCGTCAGCAAAGAGTTGTTCAGGATAATTGTAAATCAGTTGCCTGGTTTATTAATAAATTGGATATAAGTATAGTAAACTTATTTTACACGATTAATAAAAACAATTAACATGATTACTGTGTCTAAGTGTCAACATCAATTAAGGTTTATAAAAAAAAATTTATATCAAAATATTTTCGTAGATTTCATTTCTTTTTTGTAATTTTGAAACCGATATCACAATATCAAATAAAAATTCAGGTATAAAGCACTATGTAAGAAACAATTTCTTATAATCACTATAATATCTTTCGATAACATTTTTTTATCTTCAGGACCAAGTTTTTATCCTTCAAAAAAACGTAAAACGCTTAAAGTTGATGTTGATTTTATGGTTTAAGCCAATTTTTTTTTTGGTTAAAAGTGTGATTAAGCCGTCTTGAAGTTAGCTAAAGTTAGGAGATTTGACAGACACTACTCGCCTGTTACCTCTACCGTTTATACAGCCTTTTCTATGTTAAAAAGAAAGTTATAAAATATACCGATTAATAAAAACGTTTTCGCCATATTGGAGGATATTTTGAACTTTCTCCTTCATTTTGAGCTTCTCGGCACCTTCCAATTCGGCAACCTTTGCCATACTGTCCACCCTGATGCGAGAACCAAACACTTTAACCTTATCTGTATCCATGGGGGTGTTGGCTAAAAGAATTTTGGCTTTCGTTATCTTTTTGGGTTGGTTAAGGCCTATTTTCTTGTCTAGGATAAAACCTGTTGTAGAGAGCACAATAAAATATTTACATTTATAATGTGTATTAAATTTTATTATATTTTTTTGGTGCATATATTCATGTGGTATATTTTTTTTTTCAGTTTAATTATTTCATTAATCAAGTTGTATTATTTATATAAACTTGCTTTGATTGAAATTGTGTGACAAAAATTATATTAAAAATGAGGGACCATAAAAATTATTTATAAATGAATTTGCAATGTAACTATTTACTTTTGAAATAATGTAACTAATTTTCACGAGTAGCTGTTAGCAGCATTTTAAAATTACTTACCAATTTTAGCATTCATAATATACAACTTTGAAAGATTTTCTACCATAACTTATCATTTTGATTGAATCTTATAGGGCTCATGGATTAATAAAAATTTCTATGTTAAGTCATAATCAATGTGACAAGAAATAAACCAAAAACAAAACAAAGATTGTATCAATCCTCTAAATATAAATCTGGTCTATTCAAATCAGAGATCTGCAAAAATAAGCCCGGCCCGTATGGTCTTAGGGCCCTAATTTTTTAAAAAAAATCGCGTGCGGGCCAGGTCTAATATTTAAAAATAAATTGGGCCGGGTTTAGGTATTGAAAATATTTTTAAATATATCTAAATTTATCAATTTAGATTGAATTTTTCATGTAAAATAAAAATATTTTATTTTATTTATAGAAAGCCCATATAACATAGGTCTTCTATTTTGAGTAATTATTAAAATTAACGGGCCGGCAAAACTTTTTTAAAAATTTCGGTCCGGGAATTCAAATAACCGATTTTTTTTTAAAAAAGAGCAAAAAATTTTGGGCAATCTAAACTGATATCTTGCGATATTCATACTAAACGTGTCCAATAACCAATACCGACCTGATATTTAGAAAAACTTTTATTTGATCTATCTTTCAATCGATGAAATAAAAAATCAATATTTTCTATGCAAAAAAAAAGCAACAGCAAACTAGGGACAAAACTTGCAATACCAAAGTCCATTATAATTTTGAGCTTGTATAAAGTTTTAACAGGGATCGCTAGTTATTATTCAAGATAGAAAACAGGAAATCGGCTATTCAATTCTTGACTTTTTTTTCTTGAAAAATTTAAACACAAAACAAAAAAAATAAAATAATTTATTCTTCGATATTTATAATAAAAAATTATAATAAACAATTATTTTTCTATCATTTTAAAAGTAAATAAATTAATAACTAAAATTGCGACAATAATAAAATTAACATAACTAATGGCCTCACATCACATCTTGGAATTGTAGAGCTGAAAGAAAGAAGTACAGGAGAAACACTAAAAACTTCACAAAAATTTAAAATTAATATTGAACAAATATACACAATTACTTCTGATAATGGTGCAAATTTTATCAAAGCTTAAAAGCTCTTGCAGCAGCCTGAAATTGATTATGATATGAGGAGTGAATCAGCAGATGATGAAAATATGGATGTGAATGCATATAAACATGATATCGATCTGAATACTTTTTTTTATCAACTATTTTATCTTATCCGATTTATAGTGCACGTTGTGCGGCTCATACACTTCAAGATCCAATAAAATTATCACCCATTGTAGATATTATTGAAAAAGCTAGGTGCTTAAATTTAAAAGAAAATCCCTAAGCACGTGTTATATTGTCACCGATGGCATTCAACACATGATATGTTAGAAAGGCTGATTTTACTCAAACCCAATATCGAAGATTTTTTTCAGAACAATCTCATTATTTATCGACTGAAGACTGGAAAGGGATAATAACGATTGTTGAAATGTTAAAACCACTAAAAATCGCAACCAAACGATTCCAATTTGAACAGACACTGGATAGATTTATATGCAGAATGGTTACACCAAATGTATGTCTAGTTTTTAAATTAAAAATTTAAATATTTTTTTTATCAATTCAAAGATACCCGAGCTAAACCCGTACGTAACCAAACCCTGGTTAAAAATTTTTCTCCTGAACCGAACCCTAAACTTTTTATTACCTTAAACTGAACCCGAACGTAACCCGGGCAAAAATTTTTCCTAGTTGGCATCCCTGATCAGAAGTAATCGTGTCTATTTGTTCAATATTAATTTTAAATTTTTGTAAAGTTTTTAGTATACTCTCCTGTACTTTCTTTCTTTCAGGTCTATAATTTCAGGAGTTCTCAAAATTATAATGGACTTTGATGTAAATTGAATATTTACACCAAGAATTGACCTCTCTTATGTTTTTGTAGTTATGTCGACGATTTTTTTAAACTGTGCCTGATAAATTTGAATTTTGGCAGATTAGCCAAAAAATGATATTTAATTTTAATACATAAATTAACTTTAATTCACAAATATTTTATGTGCTTTAAGTTAGATATTTAAGGGAAAAAAAAATTATCCCTTAAATATTTTATGGGCCAAAAAAAATTTAATTGAAAAAATATATGACAAATTATAAGGTATGTCAACTATGTTAATCAACAATGATCTAAAAGTATTAGAAAATTTTACCATCGTCTAGATAAGAATCAATAAGATTGCCTCCCAATTTTTTGATGATTTGTATAGCTTTTAAATCTTCCTTGCCCTGAAGAAAAAATAATCATAAATAATTTAATATAGTTAAATTATACTTGAATTATTCATCTCTAAATTCATTTATTAATAAGATATCCATAATAATTTCGAATTTTACAATTTATAAATAAAAATAAGTGTTGTTGTACATGCAGACCACAAGCTAAATAAGTTTATTTTGATTTCTTGTCAATTTTCATGAATTAGAAACATAAATAGAATCAACCTTATTAATTTAAACCCATTTTTAACTTATATAAAAAATTGAGTTTGTTTCCCATCAAATTAAATGTTATTTTTATAAAAATTATTTCCATTTTACATCATAACCTGGTTCAAACACAAGCTTATTATATAAATAATATTCGTTTTTTGAATTCCCTGAATTTATAAGTCTTCAGAAAAGAAATCATATAATATTTTAAACAATTAACATATAAAATTTATGAGAATAGTTCCTATATTTGTACATTTTACAGGGATTTATGTCTATGAGATAAAATTAGTGTTTTTCGAGTGGGAAAATATTGAATCCAATGATTTGAACTTACAAATGTTTCCCCAATACATAATAAAAATTAGAAAATATAGAATTTTTTTTAAAAATATTAGGCCCATCCCAAACCCGATTGAGTCTAACTTTGCAGATCTCTACTAGCCATAACTAGACCTGTGGGCCATGCCGCCGATGAAAAAGATATCCAACGCACCAACATTGCCAACTTTATAAATACGTGGCAGTGTAGCGCAAAGTAATTATGTTATCGTTATTAGACAATATAAATTTAGGTATTTCTTTATAAATTTAATATTAAATTTTATAAAAATGTTATTTTATTAATTTAATGTATTAAGCAATTAAGAAAGTATCTGTTTTATTAAAAATACATTGCACCAAATAGAGGATATGTTTAATGGATATTATACATTGGCAACCCATCATGTAACCCAAAAACATACTGAGGAAACAATTACATCAAGAATAGATAAAGTTGAATACGTGTTCAATTTAAGGTCTAAAAATTTCAATGATCATGGATGTAGGCGTGTCCGGTTAGGTAAATATGGACATCGCCTATGTTTGGTACTGAATTATATGATCTTGTAACAGTGGATGGAGTTAAGAAAGTGTTGAAAATCTTATTTAAACTAAGAGAAAATATATTTACAATCATATACAAGACCTATAATCTGGATAATTTAAATAATTTGAAGAACAGAAAATGTTTTGAGGTGATAGATCTTAACAAATGAAATTCCTTTCACCCAAGAGCAGTTTAAAGCAGATTTATTAATAATAATGGTATAATAAATGACAGACGATACTCGAAAGTGTAAGTGGCACTAACAAAGCCCCAATCAATTATGTTAAATAGATCGGAGAAACAAGACCTTATAATTTTATGAATTTAATTAAACGTCTCATATCGGTAATGGAAAAATAAACTTTCTTTCAAAAATAAGAATCAAATGAATGATTAAATTTATCGAAAATAGTTTATTGAGGTAATGAAAAATTAGACGTGCCACCGACATAAACAGCGGCGTAAAAATCGCCCATATTTTTAAGGTAAAACGTTGCTGCCAATAAATTTTGCATAGGGCACATATGTTTAACCATAACCAAAAAAAATATACTTATAAATATATATTATATATATAAAAACTTTCAATCTCATGGCAGCTGAGACCGCTAATTTGGCAAAAAAATCTTTGTGCTGGGCCAAATTTTTGGAACTAAGAGTTGTTCTGGCAATGTTCATCAAATCCTTATTAAATTTGGTTTTGTCATTTCTAAATGCAAAAAATAAATAAATAATGATATTAAAGTATGAATGCAATAACTATGGTTTTTTTTTAAAAAAAACATTAAATATTTTGATAGATATTTAATGGGAGTTTGGTAGTGAAACATTGTTTTTTTAAACAAAAATTAAATCTATAAAAATCATTACTTAATTGTATTTCATTTCATAAATGAATCAAATAACGAATTATCGTTCAAATAAATTAAATAATTTACTACCTTATTCGGTTCGGTATATAAAATTATGAATGATAAATTTATTCAATCCATTTAAAAGAATGGATGATAAAAATTGGTTCAATTTTTACAAAGGGTTATTTATTATTCAATTATCGTAGTTGTATGTTGTGGAATAAACCTTATAATGAGGTAATTTTAGGACGCATGATAATAATTAAGCTCTCCAAAAGTTAGTAATCCTTGACGAGCTAATGAATGTAATGTTGTCAAACTACCTAACTTTAGTCAACTATAAAACAGCGTAGCCATATTTTTATCCCAAAATATTATAATCAATCTTCGAGTTGAGACGCAACTTAGAAGCTTAATTCAATTTTTTAGGCTAACAGCTTGATTAAACCACAGTAGAGATGGTCGTTGTTAGGTAATCTAACAACACTAAATGAATGGCAAGAGCACGTTCAAAAATTCTAGATAAATGTTACGAGAATTGAGATCACGAGATAGATTTATTATTTTTTTCTTATAGGTATATATTTAAAACACATCTATTTCGTTCGTTTTGAGCCGATTCTTAAAAAGGGCCAACTCAATATTTCAGCCAAAAGAATGATGGCTAATTCTCGAGATTTGACTAATCGATACCTCGACCTTTGTGCCATCTATGAGCGAGCAAAATCATCAGGCTGGCGCAATATTATTCAGGATAAAATATTGAGTTGCCATTTAATAACACATCTATTTCGTGAGATTTTAGGGTTCTAAAGTTGAATAAGATTCAAAAATATTGTATTAACCTATTATCGATAGCCGATTCTTTCAAAACCCGGCGGGCTTCATCTGTAGCTTTTCTCCAACCAGATACAATAATTTGCGGATGTATTTTTTGGTGAATCAATTTTTCGCCTTCCTAATAATTATTAATAATGTATTTGTAATTAAATAAATATCCAAGGTGAAGTGAGCTAAAGAACTCATTTTACAAATCTTCAAATCCAAATACTTACATACAAGTTTATTTGCCATTGTTTTCGAATAGAAAATCAAACTTTATGACAGGATAAAATGTGCAATAACATTTTTCATATTTTATTCAACTTACAATAATACCTAGACTGACGATGCATTCATTAAAAGTGTACATCAATGAAAACAGCTGGGGTCGCCATTTTGAATCGTTATTAAAGAATTGCCTTATCATCGAGATAATAAGGAAGCGAGTTAACGATTTAATAGTAGTTTTTAACTAGGGAATATTTACCATATGGCTTACCAAAATGGCTGGTCCAACTGATATGTATTATACGCTTTCAGATACATTATTATGAATGTATCGTCAATCTAGGTATTATTATATATCATCGATTTTACACCCTTTCAATTCTAACATCATACAAAAATATACAATTGTCCCTATTTTTCCAGTTCTTTTCAATTCAAACAAATTGCTTTTATAGAAAAAAAAAATCATTTTTATAATAGAAATAATAGAACAATTTTAAACTGGAGACAGCCACGAAATTTTTGGTTATCACGATATTTTTAAAAAAATAGATGGCGCTCTTATATAAAATAAGGCATTTTGTTTAAAAAATTTTTTCGAATTATTTTTCATTTTTAAACATAAGTAATTATAAGATATTAGCATTAATATCATGAAAAATATTATTTAGGTGGCAGGCTTATTTATTATTATCATTATAAACTATTGATAATTTGTAAAAATTAATGTTTTTATAATAAATGTTCAATTTGCTAGATAGATAGTCACTATTCCGATATCTCCTGCAAGAAGACATAATAATTAATTTTTGAAGGATAAAAGCCAGTTTTCATGCAATTACACCTGCCTACCAATTAACTAATTTTTTTCGTAAAAATATAACGTATAAGTGCTCAATTTCAAAGAATCTAAGCGTTCTATTTTAAAATAAATGTGCCAAAATTTTTGGCCCGGATAACTTAATTTCAAAATATCGAGGCGGAAAGCACTATATTTTTTGATCAATGCCATTAAGTTTAAAAAAAAAGTCTAGAAAATATAAATACCGACAGCGATTTTAAATAACATCATCGCAGCATCCAGATCAATAGATGCAATCAATATTATTAAAATGAAATTGAAATATCTCCTATTAAAAATAAAAACTACCTTTTTAAAAATAAATTTTACAATTATCAATGAGTATAGTTTTTCACTTTCTTCGTCCTCAAGATCAAGTAGCAGTACAATTAGATTCGCGAGTTAAGAAAAAGGATAATGGAATTTATATTAATTTTAAATTAATGCTTATCCAGTTTTTCCCAACGCTCTATAAAATCAATATGCCTAATGTGATAGACTTTACAATGTAGAAGAATGAAATCATAGGCTTTGATTTGACACAGATTCCTATGTAATTATATCCATAATTTGAAAACTCAACAATTAAATATTAACCTTTTTATATTATAACAAAGAATCAATTTTAGGAGATAAAATACATTTTTTATTATATAAATAATATATAAATAAAGCCTTTGACTACCCAAGATGCTAATATAAGTGATTTGTCACAAATTTCGTCAATATCTACATCTAGGAAGTTGAGTATTTCTAGGATATTTAAGATGATTCCAGCAAAATTTCGTCAGAAATGTATTCACTAAATACACATTATAGTATACATCCTCAAGTATATATTTTTAGCAAATTTAGAAAGATACATTACTAAATCACATTCACACCTGAGAGTGGAAAATAAAAACAAAAAAACACATTCATTAGTAGGGATAAGAAAATTAGTCCCTCATGAAAACACTCAAATTAAATAAATTGATTATGAGATATATTATAAAATGTAACGTCTCATTTAACAAAATAATATCTACTTATTTCAGATATTTTCTCATTTATATTTAAAAATGAGAAGATATGGTGCAGACAAACGGCGGCCTGCTATGTTAAAGATTTATATCAAAAATCTAGAAATAAAATTATTGAAGACCTTAAAACAGGTAAATGGCAAAATCAGCCTAACAATGGACATTTGGACTGGAATAAATTCCTTATCTTATTGTTCAATAACAATTCATTATATTGACAAAGATTGGAAATTTGTGAATATCCTACCTTGATCTCGTAGACTTACCTCATCCACATACGAGTGAGAAAATATGAAATAAACCTATTATCCTCTCTCCAATCTTTTGGCATACAAGAAAAAATAATGTCCATTACAATCGATAATGCAAAGAATTTCCTCTCCTCTGTGTCTATCATGACAAAATTATATATGGATAAAACGGTTATTGTCTATTTAGCATTAGATGCCTGGCTCATATATTAAATATGATAGTGGGCTCAGGAATTAATGTTTTGAATGAAAAATTGGAAAAATTAAATAAATTTGTTAAAAAGTTACATAATTCTCACAAATTTATGAAGAAATGGATGGATTTGTCAAGTGAGACTCGTATACCACTAGATGTCATCACAAGATGGAATTCCAAATTTTTAATGATTTCCACAATTAACAAAGAACCCCCTTTTTAGTATTATCTTATAGAATATCGATGTAGTAAATAATTTAGGCAAGAAAGGCTATCTTCCCGATAATCAAATTATTATAATCATGAAGAATATTTAATATTACCCGAGAAATTTCCTCAGATACTACAAACTCTACAGTTGGGTCGGCAGTTTTATTTATAGATGAAATTCCTAAAAAGTCAGAGATATATACGGAGCACATTAATACTCTTTCAAACTGTATATCGTTGTTTGTTAGACCGAAAAACAAGGAAAAAGATTTTGCCTAAATTTACAAATAATCCTGAATTTTTTTAAAAATCTCTAAACGTTATACACGAAATGAGTACAATGTCAGGGTCGTCAATGTACGACCAATGAGCCCGGTAATGAAGCCATGTCTTATTCCGTGCGTACACACATAATAAACTAAGAAGGCGAATAGGATTACATAGATATTAGGGCTATTTACGAGTTTCAACATCATGTAGCAGATTGAAATAGGTATATATTTAAAAGAGGAAGTAGCTAGCGCGACTACCAATGTAATCGATTGGTGACTTAAAAACAGCTCGATATATCCAACTTTGTCTTTAATTATAAATTTAGGAGAATCGTGGAACTTTTTAACAAATTTATTTAATTTTTCCAATTTTTCATTCAAAACATTCATTCCTGAGCCTACTGTTATATATAGTATATGTGCCAAACATCTATTGCCATATAGGCAAGAACCCTATTTATCGATATAAAATTTTTTTCGTAAAAGACACAGATGACAAGAAATTTTTTGTCATTATCGATTGTCATCGATATTATTTTATCTTGAATCCTGCAAGATTCAGAAGAGGATAATAATAGGTTAATTGATATTTCCTCACCCGTATGTGGATGAGGTAATTCTATGAGATCAAGAAGGATATTTAGGATTTTCCAAACTTTATCAATGTAATATATTACCAATGAACAATAAGATAGGGAATTAATCCCAGCATAATGTCCGATATCAGACTGATTTTGCTATTCACCTGTTTAAATTCCATAATGTTGATTCCTAGATTTCTGATATAAATCATTTACATAGTGGGCAACCGTTTGTCGACACCCTATCTTCTCATATTTAAATATGAAGGAGAAGATATCTCCGAAATATGGAATTTCTATTTTGTTAAATGGGAATGTTATTTTTTTAATACGAACCTCATTATCAATTTATTTAGTTGAGTATTTTCATGTGAAACCAATTTTCTTACTCCTAATAACGAATTTGTTGTTTTGTCAATATTTTCCAGTCTCAAATGTGATTTTGTAATATGCCTGTTTAAATTTGCTAAAAATATATATACAATAATCGTATATTATAAGTATGTAGTTGAAACTGTAGGTAGTACATTATAATGTGTATTGCAGTGGATATATTTCCGACGAGATCTCGTTGGAATCATCTTAAATATGTTTGAAATACTCAGCCTCATAGATGTAAACATTTCTAAAATCAGTGATAAATCACTTATATAAGCATAAGGTTCTATCTATATTATATATAATTAATTGGGGACGGAGAAAGAGAAAAACTAAATTGATAATTGTAAAATTTATACGAAAAAAGGTCAATTTATTTTGGGAGGGATTGGTTATTTATTTTATGATAAAAAATTAATGGTGCCAGCTGGGCATTAAAATCATTCAAAATTAAAATAATATAAATTAAAAATATAAATTATCCAATTTTCCCCTTATATTGTTTAAATTTATTAGGAAAAATAAAATATCCTCCAAAATTAAATCTTATATTTCGTTTGCTTGTTTGACACCAATTTAGCTGCTTAAAAAGGGAAAGTTTTTAAAAGACAAAATTTTTTTTAACATTTTCAAAGTTTGGAACTTATTTTAAGAATTCGAAGTTACATGGGAAGATAAGCATGCTAAAGTGAGGTGATGATCCCACACATTTTCTGGGATATACCGGACCCTGGTTTTAACATTTCAATTATGACATGACTCGGAGCCCGACAAAATATTAAATTATTTTGTTTCCCCTAATGTTTACATAAATTTTTTTATACCATAATTTCTTTATATTTTTCTTCATCACTTTCATCATTTGAACTGTCGTTGAAAGAGCCTACTTTTGCAAACCAATTCAATAAATAAAAATAGACCTTTATTCCTAATAAAAAAACTTCTTTTTTTTCTTGTATTGGGTTGGACCTAAAAACATAGGCGTGATTTATAGGTCCCTATAATAGAATTTAACGTATTCTGTAAATTATTTCTATGGTTCATCCTCGTTTCATTTATAATTTAGTTTAACATGTTGTTTACTTTAAACAATAAAATTTATATTTTTACCCGTACTCTGGCTATACAGTTGTGCAAGTTCGACTCAAAAATTTGATTTAATAGACTAAATTGGTCAACTAAGACGAATAAATGGATTGACTTAGTAGACCAATTTAGTCACTAAGTTTTTAACAAAATAATTACAATATATAAATGAAATGTTTATTTAGAAAAAGAAAAAAATACATTTTATTTTATTTTAATTGTATTCAACTTTCCTCTAATAAGCAATTGGCTATAAAAAATATCCCTTTACTAGAAGCCAAATGCCAGGGCTGGCAAAATTTTATTAGCTAATTTTATCAAAATGAATTTTCCCACTTCCAAAATTCCAAAATATTGTCTGTAATTTGTTTTATGAGCGATGAATCTTCTTGCATCTTTAACAATGCTTTATCAAAATTCTCTAAATGTTTCATTTAAAATATATAGGATGAAAAAGAAAAGTTATAAATGATAGTTGACATTGACTTTCATATCATATAATTCTATATCAATTAGCATCTAGATTATTTCATATATATATATATCCTACTTTTATTCGTCTATTAAAAATTTAGCAGTTTTTTCGAATCTAGAATAAGCACCTTATGGAGTGGCTCTAAATCTTTCATATATTGAGAAATGTTGTCATGATTTTTAAGATTTTGATTATTATTGTATCACCTTAAGGAGGTTGACAAAATTTTTACTAATTTTTGTATCCATAGATAAATTTCCTTTATTGTGAGGATGAGAATCTGTGCTCAGATTATCCGAACATTCTTTGAATATTGATAAAAATTTAAGTAAGTGCATAGACTCTACAATCATTGTACTAAATATATTTATTATGATCATTACATAGTAAATTATTCAAAAAATTTTTTTATATTAAGACCCTTTAATGAACAATAGAGAGGCAATGGAAAAGTTTAAAAAATTCACAGGAACAGAAAAGGAAAATTAATATTTAAATGTACTATATTAAAATTATTGTTATTTATATTTATATATATGTACATATGAGAGTATTTTAGATTTGTTGGTAAATATGGGAAAATTTAAACAATAAGTTATTTAATCTTCCTATAAATTCTGATTGATTATAATTTGAGTGCAAATGATTAGTATAAAGATAAATGAAAATAAAACATTTAAATTAAACTTATAACCAAATTTCCATTGCTCTACGAGAAATGATAGATTTATTATTTTTCATTCAATTGAAATTTTAGCAGACAGAAAATAAATGTTGTTTATAAAAAAGAACTAAATAATATTAGAAAAAAATATATATTATAATTATAAAATCGTAAATTATATTCAAAAACAATTTTAAAAATTAAAATTTCCATGATTAACGGGCAATTTATGTTCAGGCCTAACCAAAATTTTGGGAAGGCCCATCAATCAGGCTTAATAATTTAAAATTTATACCCATTCGAGCAGTGACCCCCTTCTTCTTTCTTTCGTGTCACTCATAATTTCATGGCCCACACCCAATGCACATATCAAAATGTTAATTTTAATTGAATGTAATTAATAAATTTAAATTAAATTAATTTGTAAGCAGCAAATGATAAGTAATTAAGTGTTTTATAACAATAATGCTAGCATAAAAAATATGGTCCTATATAGAAATTTTTTTACTCATTGTTTGAGAAATCTAGGAATAAGTTGAGATTTTGCAAGTAATTAGTTGGCATATATCAGTCACCTATAAACTTATCTCAGGTTTAATTTTATCAAAATTTTCCTAAAATATTTGTAAATTATTTCTCAATGTGCATATTTAATTAAAGTAATAAACATATTTTCTTATATAATAATGAGAAAATTCATCAATAAAAATTAAATATTTTAATAAATTCTCTTTTTAAAATAAATGAAGGAATGGCAAAAAAGGAATTGAAAATGCTGAAGCATAAGTAAAATGTGGAGCTAAAAATTTGATCTTTTGATCAAAAAATTAATGCTAATTGATATATTTTTTCATATTATTTCTATAATAACTTGTTTTCCAATAAATATATCACAATTTTTATTTTAAACAAAAATAACAGCCAAATTTTCATTAAAAAATTTATTTTATTTAAAATTCTATAAAAAAATCCTAAAATTAATATTAAAAATATGTTCAGGTATTTCAGATTTTTCAGTTTAAATTACAAACAATCGAACAAAAATGTTGTAGAAGACCTTCTAAAGAATATCTAGATATTGTTACAAATATAAGAAATTTTAAAAGATGGTAAAGATTTTAGCCAAAATATTATAACCTAAGCCTAAAAATTTAGCAAATAGATGTCCAAGCCTTTTCTGTCATCTATGAGCAAAATCTTTAAATTACCTTTGGATAAAATCTTTATATAACTTTTTTTTAAATTAGCTAAATCAAGATTCAAGACTGTTTAGTAAGAGATAAGTGAAAGTATAGAAAATGATATTGCACATATAAAATGTATAGTAACCTAGTAAAATTTTATTTTTACCATTAAATTTTTTTGGAAATTTGAAAAAATATATAAAAAAATACAAATTAAGCTTGATTTAAAAAAAAATATATGCTATTATTTTATTATAGAAAGCTTTTAGATCAAAATTTTGTTGCTTCTATCATTAATAATATATGCAATTGTACAATTAATAATTATTATAAATGAATCACATTAGTCATATTTTGTATAATTAATAACACAAAGTGACTATAACAAAATTTACAAAGAAATTAAAGGAAAAGAGAATAATACCTTTAACAATTCACAGGCCAAAACACATACTGATGTAGTTCCATCTCCTACTTCATTATCTTGAGTTTTTGCTATGTCTAAAACAAAATTAACAAGATTAAAATTTTAATATTGTTTTGTATTACCAACTAACACTTTGGCGGCAGGATTATCAACCCCTATTGATTTTAAAATTGTTGCACCATCATTAGTTATTTGAATATCTCCTATTCCACGCCCATCCATACCAGATGATTGTATAATTTTGTCCTTAAGTGTTAAAATATATATCAAATTATTTTAAATACATACCATTCCTTTTGGTCCTAAAGTACTCTTAACCAAATCCCCAATGGCAATGGCACCAATAAAACTTGACTAGAATTATATAACTTTATTAAAACTTATTCAAATTTTACCAATCGTGCATTCTCTCCTCTATCTTCTTCAGCTTCGTTTTTCAATAATTGAATAGGGTGCAAAGATAAAGCCTAAAAAAAATACTAAATAAAATTAAGATAAAATTTACCATTTTGTTTAAAATAGGGAAAGCGTGATATAAGTTAATATTTCCACGAGGTTAGACTTCTATGAATTGACTGGAATGAGGCATATTGTAATATTTAAAATGAATTAAATAAATTTATGAAAATATTTTAATTTATATACATGAAATTTAATCTCTAAAAAAACATACTTTTACCATACAAGTATTAAAATACGAATCATTTTTGTATAAAAGAATATTCCAATAATTATAAGAAATATTTATGTTCAGTATCCCGGCAAAAACATATGAATTAGAGAAACGTATTAACGATAGAAAGAGAATGTTAAGGATAATATCTCGGTCATCATAGGAAGACAAGATATAAAGTATAAAAATATTAGGATCTAAAAGTATTATCCATGAAAGTAAAGAACATGGCATATAGATTAAGGTGTTATAATATTACAATGAGAAGGCCTTAAATGATTACTCAAAACGCATATTTAATTTAGGCATGAGAATTATATAAGCAGCTATGCCAAGAATATTAACGCGGAAACAACTACACAGAGGTAGACATAAACTTATAATAAATGAGATGTTTTGTCCAAACAATAAAAAATGGATAGTGATGAAAGTGTTTACCAACTAATTGATAAAAGCTAAATACTAAAAAAGTGAAATAAATAATCTTCAGGATATAAATCTGATTCTCATTATTCAATTTCAAATGATAATGAAGCTTTCTAATTCATTGATATTTCATGAATTTTAAATATATAACTATAATAAATGCTTTATGTTATTTAATCAAAAATTAATATCGATGATATATATTTATTAATATTATCGATTTTCCCTACAAATGTATTATAGTTATTCAAATGATATATTAAAATTTGAAAAAGATAATTATTTTGTTTGTAATTTTCATTTTTACTTAAGTTTTCCTTTTTCTATTTTTTATTTTTTCCCTTTTTCCTATGAATCCTTGGACATTTTTTACCCACATAAATTATGCCAATTTTAACCTGAGATTCAGTTATATGTTTAATATTATCGACTCAAGTCCTAGACTTAGATTCCTTATTTAATCAAGCGTTATAAATGCTTCCTATGTCAAAAGATATGGGATATAATTTTTAATTTTATCATTGCAAAATAAATTTTAACTATTTTGTTACTATCGAGATAAAAAATAATTGAATGTTCGACAAGTTAGAAAATAATTGTTCTGCAGGTAAAAAAAAAATTTTTTAATAAAAATTAAATTCTTATATTTTATAAAATCCTCATTTTATAAAATACGAATTGAGTAGAAAAATTGGTTAGGTTCTAAAAAAAATATTTGAAAATAAGTTTAGTCAATGACCCAAAACAACTAAGCCAAACCCTTCAATACTACAATCAGATACTGGAATTACTCATAAGAAATAATAATTATAAGGAGGAAGATTTAATTTTAATATAAACTCCCTATATTAAAAAGGACTATCTAAAACTCATTATAATGGACGATGACGTTCATATAACTCAAATCTAAAATAATATTAGAGGTTACTAATTTTTTCTCGCTTCACTATTATATCCAATGTTCATACCCGGGCATTGTTTAAAAGAATTAGCCTCTCGGTCTCGTGGTTTCATGTGTTATCACATATTAAAATCCGGGAAACCTTAATGATTCGCTTATTGCAATTTAACTAATAAGACTTCAAATAAACAATTTTTTTTACATTCGTTGGAAGAAATTGATTGTTGGACTGTTGATAGAGCATTTTAATGTAACAAAAAAAAAGTAATAAGTTATCAATTTTGAAAATGTAACATTTTCCTTCTTCTAAAAGGCCTTCCCATAATTTCATCTAATGGATAGTTTGTTGTTCAAGTAGTTTATCGTTTTGGTTTTTCAATGTTGCATAAGTCACTAATCGTTGGCCCAAATTGTTGGTTTGTTCTTTTTTGAAATCGTGAGCTTGATATTCATATCGAATATTGTCTTCATAAATCGTGATTTTGTCATATAGCTTGCTTGGTAGTACTCAGTTGTTATTATTATCATTTTCAAAATTGTTATTATCATCAGTAAGTAATAAGAAATAATAGTTCATCATATTGGATATAAGAATAAACGAAGAATGATAAATCAATAAAATTGTTATATAATATTTTCAGCGTTTTAATTTTTTGCGTTTTAGTGTAAGCGTTTTGATATTTAATTTACTTTATGCATTTTAGTATTTATTTTATATTTTAAGTTATGTAGTCTTTTAGATAAACAGGTTTTTGTTTAATTCGCACAGGTCTAGAAATAGGTGTTATATCGTTATTATCAGTAATTTTTATATTTTTGTCCACACTTCCCTCCTTAAAAGAATCCTTAGAGTCATAGTTAACAATTTTAAAACAGTTTCTAATTCTTATTTGATCTAAATATCTTCTCAAAATACCTTTCTCAGTCTTAATTTGGAACATCATATCACTTTCTTTATATGTGATCATACCTTTGCACCATTTATCATCACCTTGTACTTTGTACCAAACAAAATCTCCTACGTTAAAGGTTCTATTACGTGGCAAAGTAACGTTTATTTTATTCTCCTTCTCCTCCAACGGTTTTAATAAGTCTTTAATTCTAATATCTCGATTAAACATTCTCTAAGATGGTGTAACTCCTGTAGTAGGATTACGCGTATTTCTGTAATTAAATAAAAATTTGCCAAGTGCAATATCTAGGTCCATTTTAATATTCCTTTTCATATGTGTTTTAAACGTTCTCACCATACGTTGTACCTGGCCATTGGATTGCTGGTGATACGCAGATGTGAGCACATGTTTGATACCGAAATTGTTGCAAAATTTTTCAAAATCGTTACTCGTAAAATTAGTACCATTATCAGTAACTATAGTTTCAGGTATTCCATATAGCGAAATAGTTTTAAAGATTTCTTTTAAAGTCACATCAGTCGTAATATTTTTAACAGGAATAATAATTGGAAATTTACTGTAGGCATCGACTATTATCAACCAATTTTTTGTAAAGAACGGACCCGCATAATCTATGTGTATCCTTTCAAACGGTTTGGTTGCCGAAACCCATGGTTTTTGTATCTTTATAGGATTATCATGATATATGTTACAATCATCACAACTTTTCACTTCCATAACTATATCATTTATACCAGGCCACCACATGTAATCTTTGGCTAAGTATTTGATTTTTCCTGCTCCCAAGTGACCTTCATGTAATGACTGTAGTATATTTTTTCTCATAGAAGACGGAATTATGATTCTGTTGCTTTTGTAAAGACAATCCATAATTATACTTAATTCCATTTCAATGTTTTTATAAATATTATTCATTATAGACCTGTTGTTTTTAATATCATTTATGACTTGTTTTAATTCCATAGCTTTCAAAGTTTCATCACGAATTTGATTAAAATTAATAGGTAAATCCCCATATTCATTTATTATAGTGATATTTTCAATAGTTTTATCATGACATTCTTGTGGTAATCTCGAGAGACAATCAGGAACAACATTATATTTACGGGCTTTATACTTTATATTAAAATCATATCCTCCTAATGTAATATTCCACTTCTGGAGTCTTAAGGACATGGTGCTATTATCCATATGACCCTTGGTAAAGATGTGAACTAGAGGTTTATGTGGTCAGTAATAATTGTAAATTTCGTGCCGATTAAGTATTCCTGGACCTCCTTATAGCGAACATAATAGCGAGAGCCTCACGCTCAATATTGGTATAGTTCATTTCGGATTTTAATAAAGTTCTTGACGCGAAAGCTATAGGTTTTTCTTTACCATCTTTTTCAGTATGAAATAGTACAGCTCCTAAACCACATTTCGATGCGTCAGTGGCTATCCCTATAGGTAATTCAGGGTTAAAATATGTCAAAGCAGGTGGAAGACTAATCAACTTCTTAAGATCATTAAAAATTTTAGAGTGTTCTAGGTTCCAAGCCCATTTTTCTTTGTTGACAATCTTATATAGAGGATCGGCAATTTCAGCAAAATTGTTCAAAAATTTACTATAGTAGCCAGCCATTCCCAGAAATGTTGATAATTCAGCAGCTGATTTTGGTTCTGGCATATTAATTATTGCTTCAATTTTGTCGTGATTAGCATGAATCCCCTTAGCGTCAATATCATGACCCAGGAACCTCACTTTGTTTTTAAAGAACACACTTTTATTGAAGTTAGGTATCAGCCCAAACGATGATATTCTATCAAACACTTTTTTTATGTTATTAAGGTGGGCTTCATCGTTTTTTCCAGTTATTCATCAATATAAAATATGACGTCATCCATATCACCGAAGATTTGATCCATGATTTGGAAAAATTGCAGATGAGGTCTTAAGCCCAAAAGGAAGTCTAGTAAATTGGTAATATCCCTTGTGCGTAGATATAGTTAAACAATTTCTGCAACTTTTATCAATTGGTATCTGTAAGAAAGCATTTTTAAAGTCAATCTTTGTAAATTTCTATCCTTCTGAAAGTTTAGATATAAGATCATTGATTCGTGGTAGAGGGTATCTGAAATCTTCTAGAGCTGGGTTTACAGTGTCCTTAAAATCAGCACAAAGCCTAATGCTCCAATCATCTTTGTAGACAGCGGTAACAGGACTTGCCCAACAGACATCATTCACCGGTTCAATAATTTTATCATGTATCCATTTTTTAAGTTCATTGCTAATAAGATCAATTTTTGAATAAGAAATACGTCTAGGTGGTATAATTTTAGGTTGGGCATCTCTTCTTAAATGTAACTTGACACTTGCTTTGTTGATTGGCCCATTAGTCAATTTGGATTCACACTCTATAATCAATTTTTTTTATTTCATCTTCGTTATTAGTGTAACATTTGCTATAAATTTATTTAAAATATTTTTGAAAGCATTGATCCATGTACGTCCCAACAAGGCATTTTTACTTGATTCGACGACTACCGCTTGTAAGTATTTTGAGATACCTTCATAAGTCACTTTAACATGAGTGATGCCGATGATCTTGATTAAATATCCGTCATAAGCGGTAAGTTGTAATTCGGATTTTTAACATCTCTAATACCAAGTTTTTTAGCC